GTACATTTCGGACTCCTTACCTCTTCCGGTTCCCAAATTTGGTCCATTTGATGTTCCTCCCTTGGATTGAGACCGTTTCATCATGTTTCCTCATAGTCATGTATAGAACCTATTAATCCATGTTTGGGTAAGTATGGGTCCGTCTAGTTCATCATATACACTACAAGTAAGTTCCCACAATGTGGAGGCACAAGATACATTTCGGACTCCTTACCTCTTCCGGTTCCCAAATTTGGTCCATTTGATGTTCCTCCCTTGGATTGAGACCGTTTCATCATGTTTCTCCTCATAGTCATGTATAGAACCTATTAATCCATGTTTGGGTAAGTATGGGTCCGTCTAGTTCATCATATACACTACAAGTAAGTTCCCACAATGTGGAGGCACAGAGCTACATTTCGGACTCCTTACCTCTTCCGGTTCCCAAATTTGGTCCATTTGATGTTCCTCCCTTGGATTGAGACCGTTTCACTCATGTTTCTCCTCATAGTCATGTATAGAACCTATTAATCCATGTTTGGGTAAGTATGGGTCCGTCTAGTTCATCATATACACTACAAGTAAGTTCCCACAATGTGGAGGCACAGAGCTACATTTCGGACTCCTTACCTCTTCCGGTTCCCAAATTTGGTCCATTTGATGTTCCTCCCTTGGATTGAGACCGTTTCAGTCATGTTTCTCCTCATAGTCATGTATAGAACCTATTAATCCATGTTTGGGTAAGTATGGGTCCGTCTAGTTCATCATATACACTACAAGTAAGTTCCCACAATGTGGAGGCACAAGCTACATTTCGGACTCCTTACCTCTTCCGGTTCCCAAATTTGGTCCATTTGATGTTCCTCCCTTGGATTGAGACCGTTTCACTCATGTTTCTCCTCATAGTCATGTATAGAACCTATTAATCCATGTTTGGGTAAGTATGGGTCCGTCTAGTTCATCATATACACTACAAGTAAGTTCCCACAATGTGGAGGCACAGAGATACATTTCGGACTCCTTACCTCTTCCGGTTCCCAAATTTGGTCCATTTGATGTTCCTCCCTTGGATTGAGACCGTTTCACTCATGTTTCCTCATAGTCATGTATAGAACCTATTAATCCATGTTTGGGTAAGTATGGGTCCGTCTAGTTCATCATATACACTACAAGTAAGTTCCCACAATGTGGAGGCACAAGCTACATTTCGGACTCCTTACCTCTTCCGGTTCCCAAATTTGGTCCATTTGATGTTCCTCCCTTGGATTGAGACCGTTTCATCATGTTTCTCCTCATAGTCATGTATAGAACCTATTAATCCATGTTTGGGTAAGTATGGGTCCGTCTAGTTCATCATATACACTACAAGTAAGTTCCCACAATGTGGAGGCACAGAGCTACATTTCGGACTCCTTACCTCTTCCGGTTCCCAAATTTGGTCCATTTGATGTTCCTCCCTTGGATTGAGACCGTTTCATCATGTTTCCTCATAGTCATGTATAGAACCTATTAATCCATGTTTGGGTAAGTATGGGTGTCTAGTTCATCATATACACTACAAGTAAGTTCCCACAATGTGGAGGCACAGAGCTACATTTCGGACTCCTTACCTCTTCCGGTTCCCAAATTTGGTCCATTTGATGTTCCTCCCTTGGATTGAGACCGTTTCACTCATGTTTCTCCTCATAGTCATGTATAGAACCTATTAATCCATGTTTGGGTAAGTATGGGTCCGTCTAGTTCATCATATACACTACAAGTAAGTTCCCACAATGTGGAGGCACAAGCTACATTTCGGACTCCTTACCTCTTCCGGTTCCCAAATTTGGTCCATTTGATGTTCCTCCCTTGGATTGAGACCGTTTCATCATGTTTCTCCTCATAGTCATGTATAGAACCTATTAATCCATGTTTGGGTAAGTATGGGTCCGTCTAGTTCATCATATACACTACAAGTAAGTTCCCACAATGTGGAGGCACAAGCTACATTTCGGACTCCTTACCTCTTCCGGTTCCCAAATTTGGTCCATTTGATGTTCCTCCCTTGGATTGAGACCGTTTCATCATGTTTCTCCTCATAGTCATGTATAGAACCTATTAATCCATGTTTGGGTAAGTATGGGTCCGTCTAGTTCATCATATACACTACAAGTAAGTTCCCACAATGTGGAGGCACAAGATACATTTCGGACTCCTTACCTCTTCCGGTTCCCAAATTTGGTCCATTTGATGTTCCTCCCTTGGATTGAGACCGTTTCACTCATGTTTCTCCTCATAGTCATGTATAGAACCTATTAATCCATGTTTGGGTAAGTATGGGTCCGTCTAGTTCATCATATACACTACAAGTAAGTTCCCACAATGTGGAGGCACAAGCTACATTTCGGACTCCTTACCTCTTCCGGTTCCCAAATTTGGTCCATTTGATGTTCCTCCCTTGGATTGAGACCGTTTCACTCATGTTTCTCCTCATAGTCATGTATAGAACCTATTAATCCATGTTTGGGTAAGTATGGGTCCGTCTAGTTCATCATATACACTACAAGTAAGTTCCCACAATGTGGAGGCACATAGCTACATTTCGGACTCCTTACCTCTTCCGGTTCCCAAATTTGGTCCATTTGATGTTCCTCCCTTGGATTGAGACCGTTTCATTCATGTTTCTCCTCATAGTCATGTATAGAACCTATTAATCCATGTTTGGGTAAGTATGGGTCCGTCTAGTTCATCATATACACTACAAGTAAGTTCCCACAATGTGGAGGCACATAGCTACATTTCGGACTCCTTACCTCTTCCGGTTCCCAAATTTGGTCCATTTGATGTTCCTCCCTTGGATTGAGACCGTTTCATCATGTTTCTCCTCATAGTCATGTATAGAACCTATTAATCCATGTTTGGGTAAGTATGGGTCCGTCTAGTTCATCATATACACTACAAGTAAGTTCCCACAATGTGGAGGCACAAGATACATTTCGGACTCCTTACCTCTTCCGGTTCCCAAATTTGGTCCATTTGATGTTCCTCCCTTGGATTGAGACCGTTTTCATCATGTTTCTCCTAGTCATGTATAGAACCTATTAATCCATGTTTGGGTAAGTATGGGTCCGTCTAGTTCATCATATACACTACAAGTAAGTTCCCACAATGTGGAGGCACAGAGACATTTCGGACTCCTTACCTCTTCCGGTTCCCAAATTTGGTCCATTTGATGTTCCTCCCTTGGATTGAGACCGTTTCATTCATGTTTCCTCATAGTCATGTATAGAACCTATTAATCCATGTTTGGGTAAGTATGGGTCCGTCTAGTTCATCATATACACTACAAGTAAGTTCCCACAATGTGGAGGCACAAGATACATTTCGGACTCCTTACCTCTTCCGGTTCCCAAATTTGGTCCATTTGATGTTCCTCCCTTGGATTGAGACCGTTTCATTCATGTTTCTCCTCATAGTCATGTATAGAACCTATTAATCCATGTTTGGGTAAGTATGGGTCCGTCTAGTTCATCATATACACTACAAGTAAGTTCCCACAATGTGGAGGCACAGAGCTACATTTCGGACTCCTTACCTCTTCCGGTTCCCAAATTTGGTCCATTTGATGTTCCTCCCTTGGATTGAGACCGTTTCATCATGTTTCTCCTCATAGTCATGTATAGAACCTATTAATCCATGTTTGGGTAAGTATGGGTCCGTCTAGTTCATCATATACACTACAAGTAAGTTCCCACAATGTGGAGGCACAGAGATACATTTCGGACTCCTTACCTCTTCCGGTTCCCAAATTTGGTCCATTTGATGTTCCTCCCTTGGATTGAGACCGTTTCAGTCAAGTTTCTCCTCATAGTCATGTATAGAACCTATTAATCCATGTTTGGGTAAGTATGGGTCCGTCTAGTTCATCATATACACTACAAGTAAGTTCCCACAATGTGGAGGCACAGAGATACATTTCGGACTCCTTACCTCTTCCGGTTCCCAAATTTGGTCCATTTGATGTTCTCCTTGGATTGAGACCGTTTCATACATGTTTCCCTCATAGTCATGTATAGAACCTATTAATCCATGTTTGGGTAAGTATGGGTTGTAACACCCCCGGTTCGGTCTATGAATAGACTAAACCGCAGATGCCACAAGTGTCGAGGTTCATAAGATAGGCCGTCTTGGGTCTAAGAACAAATCAGAGCCCAAGTCAGCTAATCCGATGAATACGACCCTCTCGACCATCGGTTAAGGCTTTGCAACCTGCTCCTCCGGTCTTGAGTTGTGTTAGCTCGGACAAGAGCTAATATCATTGAGAGGCCAGATTTGTAAAAAGATAACTTTATATAATAACCTTGTCAAAACAAGTTCTTACAAAACTTTATACTATTTTGCGGCAAGGCCTAGTGCCCAAAGCATAGCTATTGCATATAATAACCTGAAATCGAGTTTTACAAAAGCCAAGCCAATCTACTCCGGTCTTCAGCTGTTCTGCCTCCCGTCCACGGGCTTCAACTAAGGGTTACCTGTAAGACAAATAATCATCATGAGTAACCTAATGTTACTCAGTGAGTTCAGGACCCTCTATACAAAGGTTATTCCCCAAACCCAAACCCCAAAAGAAAAAGGCGGGATCTCATCCGCCACCTGCAACACAAAGCAATTATGCAATATTGTTGCTATAGCCTTAAGACTAACCGTACCCCAATCAAACAAGAACAGGTACGATCAATCCAAGACTATAACAACACTCAAACAAGCAATCAATCAATCAAGCAATGCACACAATCAATCTATATGCAAAGCAACCCTAATCAAGTAGCGGAATACTTGACTTCTACATGCAGTGAGGCCTCTAGGTGCATAAGCCACATTCTCAGCCCACGCCTGTGAAGGTTCACGCTCATCCGGAATCACACAGAAACTAGATGAACGCCTTCACCCGGGCACTACAGTCCATCGCGGTACCCGGTTCATCCTCCCATCTATTGGCCTTACTGGCGCACCATGCCAATGTCTGGTTGGATCCCATATCGTCATATGGTACCATACTCGGCCAAGGCAGCTGACCAGGTTATCCTCCGAGTCTTCCTCCCTTCATGCACAGCCTCCACGCTGCCAATCCGGTTGGGCTCTGACGTGCGAGAATGCGCTTGACTACACCTTCCTAAACAACATGTGGTTAGACACGCCACATGTTCTCAGTACTTAGCATATGGGCCTTTACGCACCACTATGCCTCATACCCTCGGTTCTGCGGCAGAGCTTCCCTTGCCTCGGAAGAGTACCCACACGAACCTCGAAAGATCTGGCGGCTCAGCCGTCCGTGATCTTTCCACATCGGAGTCATACTCAACATATGGGCCTTACGCACCACCATGTTAGCATGCACTCGAGGTTTAGCGGCATAGCCATGCTATAACCCCACAACCGATGCATCTATGAGATTTGGCGGCATAGCCATCCACAATCTCACATCACCTAAAGTATAGACATGCATCTATACAAACAAGATCTGACGGCATAACCTTCCCCGAAGGTTACCCATCACAATCTTACACACAAAAGAGATCTGCCAGCATAACCTTCCCCGAAGATTACCTGACACAACCTCACAACACAAGAGATCTGACGGCATAACTTCTCTCTCTAGAAGATTACCCGTCACAACCTCACAGAGATTTCTGCAGCATAACTCTCCACAATTTTTACTAAACATTATTGTTTAGAGAGTTATACCACATACTTATTAAACGATAGAAGGAAATAAACTATAACCTAGCTACCGGAACTCACAGATTTTAGACGACCCGGCTGACCCCGTTCCTAGCCTACCCCACTCTAGCGCGAACCCGATCCGCCTCTGGATCTTCTCTTCTTCTTCTCCAGCTTGTTCTTCTTCTTCTTCTTTCTTCTTCTTCCTCTTCTTCTTCTTCTTCTCCTCTTTTCTCTCTTGGGCGTTCTCCCCTTTCTCTCTCTACTTTATCTCTCTAGATTTTCAGGTTTTGGTGTGAGTTGAAATGAAGGCTGAAGGGGCCTTTATATAGGTTTATGGGAAGCTCGAGGTGGCGTCTGAGGGCTTCAGAACGTGACACCTCTCCTTTCCATTGGTCCATTCTCCAAGCTGTTGGGTAGCTGAACGTGATTGGTCCATTGAAGATGAGCATCTCCTTGATCCTATCTTCATGGAATGAGTGGCTTCTTCTCATTGGCTCCTTCCCTCATCTGTTGAGTGTCATGGCCTGATTGGCCTGAAACTCCTTGATTCAGCATCTGAATGGCTCCGTTTGATTGGTTTGTTATGGAAGCTGTTGTGTAGCTCCATTTGATTTGTCCATTTTTGGATAAGATAATCCAATCACAATGCTTATCCACGGCCTCACTCTCCCCATCAGGTGGTGTTGACACACGATTGGTCCAACACAATTTCGTCCCATTCCAACAGCTCAATGTCTCTGCGTGATTGGCTGAACGGTTTTGGCTCCATCTGAGTACCTTGGTGTCTCCTCCTTACTGGTTTAGACCATCTTTATCCTCCTCAAGTAGCTGGTGTCACCACTTGATTGGCTTAGAACAAGATTGCTCCAAAGTACGTTTCCTCGTCCAGAGGGTTTCGTACGTTTCCCTGTCCGGAGGGTTTCGTCCCCGTCGTGCTTGAGAATTAAAATCTCCTATTTTAATCCTTCTCTCATTTCCATGTTTCTGAGCTTCCACATAGTTGCTTGGAAATGTGCGGAATACCTCCATCCCGAACATTTACGTTTCTTGCAGTCGTTGCGGGATAGATCTTGGGCGTTCGTCCCATCTCTCAATCTGCTCGTCCGATTTGCATTCTGCTTCGACCAAACTTCTTAGAATGGTTCTTATGTCGTCCAAACTCTTCTCTTCTTGATTTGGAGAACTTTGATATTTCGTCGTCCTGTCGACTCTTCCCATGTTCGTACAATGATCGTCCCACCTGGACAATCTTGTGTATCTTCACTTCTGCTCGTTCGTTCTTGATCATGTCTTGATCCAAGTCTTCGTTGTGATCTCTGTATTAGATCCCACGTCTTTGTCTTCCAATCCCAGAGTGTTGATCTTCCCATCCCGGCCTTTGGGATGTTTTAGGTCTTGATACGGGGTATCACATTCTCCCCCCCTTAATAGAATTCGTCCCCGAATTCCAGTTGTAGAGAGTAGGAACGTAACATTGTTCCGGTGTCTCTCCCCATCTTTGAAGATGCCTTGCCTCCTCTTACTATGTCTTCACGTTGTCCCCTTGCAGACTCCTCTTCCACTGATCTCCTCTGATCCTCCTTGATGTTCTCTCTCTCCACGGATCCGCCTTGCTGTTCTCTTCTCCACGGATCCTCCTTGTTCTATGCAGCTGTGTTCTGCATAGAACTCGGGTTAGTTCTTCCGGAAGTTCTCTTCATCTTCCTAGATGATAACTTTCCAGTTTTGTCTTCCCCATAATACTTGAATATGTGTAATCTCGCGGTTCTTCAGCTTACGAACTCGTTTATCTCCAAGTCTGATTGGACCTTCTTGGTAAGTAAGGTTTGACTGCAATCCTTCTACCCGTTCAGGTTCAATGGCGCTGGGGTCACGTATATGCTTCCGTAGCATTGATACATAGAACATTGGATGTAGATTCATGTCCGCCGGTAGGTCTAGGCGATAAGGCACTTCTCCAACTCGCCCAATGACTTGGTATGGACCTATGAATCGTACTGCTAGCTTCCCGATCTTCCCAAAACAATCTCTACGCTTTTGAGTGGATACTTTGAGGTATACCCAATCTCCAATGGTAAAGACTATCTCTCGCCGGTTTTAGCTTCTCCATAACACTTGAATAGGCAGATCTTGAAGTAACCCTCCTGGTACTTGATGTTCCGCCTTGATCTCTTGACATTGGGAGTCATGTTGCGCCACTGCTCTCTTCATCCTTAGTGCTTCAAGGATGAATACTAAGTAAAGACTGGTGTGCCATCCTTAGTATCTCTTGTCTTAGATGCCCTCCTTCTGGAACGGTGATTCTCCCATGAAGTAGGATGGTCACATCTTCGGCTAGGTGATCCTTCTCATCAACGCCTTCACCTTCTTCTTGAAAAACAATCCCAATGCTCCCCAGAGTGAGGAACTCGGCCGAATGAACTCCTTGCTCATTAGGTCTTCTAGTTGGGTCTTCACTTCTCCTCACTTGGTTGGGGTCATACCGTATGGTAACCCTAATGCTGACGTCGTTCCTGACTCCAGGCTTATAGTGAATGGATTCCTCCGTGGTAGGGATAATTCTGTCAGCGCCTCGAATGCATCCCCAAACTCTTGTACCACCAGGATATCCTCTACTTTCAACTTCTTGTCTTCTTTCTTTTCCACCACACCAATCACAAGGAGATATGCTTCTCCTCTCTCCATCTGCGTTTCCATTCGCAGATCTGATCCTAACAACATTGCCGTACTAGGACTGATTCCTTGGTACGCAATCCTCTATTGCTGAGACCCTTTGAAGATGATTCTTCTCTCTCATATTCTAGCTGAGCTTCATAGCTAGATAACCAATCCTTGCACAGGATTTCATTGAAGCGGGCTAGGGGTAGAACTAGTAGGTCAGCGCTGAAGGTCTCTTCCTGCAACACAACATAAACACTACACTATACTCAACGCTTTAAGGGTTTGGTCTCCTGAGGATAACACAAGATCCTCCACCCTTTCTACCTTAAAAGCGTCTTCTAAAAAAGATGCTACTTCAGGAGTCACAATACCATGTGTTGCTCCCGAATAGAACAAAATATGTGTCAGGTTACCACCTACACATATTGTTCCTTAGCATCCTACCACAATACTAATATACTTACTAATCAAGCAAGCAATCACACAAAACAAACCCAAGCAATAACTTAAACAAGTTAGAGTTAGCACCCTTATCTTTCTACGGTAGGATCTTTTACCGATCCCAACGGGTTTGATATTTCTGCGTCTAACGCGGACACCTCACCCGTGCTTGTCAGACGATTGGTCGGGGATCCGTTCATTGGTCAGGTCGATGCTTCTAGGTCTTGTCGCCACTTCAACGATCTTGTGAGGACAATTTGGGGAGAAATGTCCTTTCTCTCCACAGATGTAGCATGTCGCACGTATTGGAAGATCTGGCACTGAAATAGTACGGGGACAAGATCGAGCGAAATGTCCCTTTCCTCCACATGTGTAGCATGATTCGCCATCATTCCCGGATTTCTGGCCTCCTTTCTTTGACTTAGTTGCGGCTCTGGAATCCATTTTTCTTTTCTTCCAAGCGGCTTTCTCCTTTTGCAGATACGCCTCCACATCCACTGCTCTTTCTATCACTTCATGGAGACTACTGAAAGTGACTGACTGTAGTCGACTTTCTATCTCTGGTTTTAGTCCTTCCATGAACTGTCTCACTAGGGCTTCATCATCCACGTTGCAGTATGAGATATACCGCTGTAGTCTCATAAACTCCGCTTCATATTCTCGAACGCTCTTCTCGCCTTGGTTTAGTCGCATAAACTCATTGGCTAGGTGATCTCGTGCTTCGGATGGAAAGTATTTCTGTTCAAACTCCTTTTTGAACCCTTCCCATGTGTCGATGTGATACTCCTGCTGTCGATTCATGCTTTCCCACCAGCTTAACGCCTCCTTCTCTAGGTGATAGACTCCGACGTCCCTTTTAAAGTCGTCTGTACATCTGGTCGCTGAAAATTTCTTCTCCACACATTGTAGCCATGCATCCGCCTGGTAGTGGTCCGGCTCTCCATTGAATAGATAGGTTCTTAAGGTCTTCAAGATTGTTGCTATCTTGAGAAAGTCTGGTGGTAGAGCTACTCCGTTGCTTGTGCCTAGTATGGCCTGGTGCAACACTTGGGATAAAAGATCATGCACAATGGATAAAGTTGTATTGGCCCGTCTTTGACCTTCTGGTTCTAATGGCGGCCTAGCATCTTGCCATGCTTGTTGATTCACAGATCCGGAATGCTCAACTCGAACATTCCTATGCGGGTTTAGTGGATGATGAGACCTCGTCCCTTGAGAGTGAATGGAGTAAGGTGACATAGAGTAGTCCCTTCTCTCTGGATATTCGTAGTCCGGATTCTCAGCTGACTAGCTGTCTCAAGCATGTTTCCATGCATCGTCTCCTCATTCTGCCTTCTTCTACATTGTTGTGCATAGCCACATCTGATGGCTCTCTTCCACTTATATCTCTGGCGCACTCTGACCCTGACCCAATGATAAATCCCTCGACCTCTCGTGACCTCCTCTGTGGTTTAACATCTGCACCAGGTAATGGGTAAGTCCTAACTTACTAATCCTAATAGGCAGAACAAACCGGATTCCTAATTTGGCTTTTGCGACACATTTTGACTCGATAAAACGGCTTGTCCCGTGAGCATGACCATGAACCATGCTCTGATACCACCATTTGTAACACCCCCAGTTCGGTCTATGAATAGACTAAACCGCAGATGCCACAAGTGTCGAGGTTCATAAGATAGGCCGTCTTGGGTCTAAGAACAAATCAGAGCCCAAGTCAGCTAATCCGATGAATACGACCCTCTCGACCATCGGTTAAGGCTTTGCAACCTGCTCCTCCGGTCTTGAGTTGTGTTAGCTCCGGACAAGAGCTAATATCATTCGAGAGACCAGATTTGTAAAAAATAACTTTATATAATAACCTTGTCAAAACAAGTTCTTACAAAACTTTATACTATTTTGCCGGCAAGGCCTAGTGCCCAAAGCATAGCTATTGCATATAATAACCTGAAATCGAGTTTTACAAAAGCCAAGCCAATCTACTCCGGTCTTCAGCTGTTCTGCCTCCCGTCCACGGGCTTCAACTAAGGGTTACCTGTAAGACAAATAATCATCATGAGTAACCTAATGTTACTCAGTGAGTTCAGGACCCTCTATACAAAGGTTATTCCCCAAACCCAAACCCCAAAAGAAAAAGGCGGGATCTCATCCGCCACCTGCAACACAAAGCAATTATGCAATATTGCTGCTATAGCCTTAAGACTAACCGTACCCCAATCAAACAAGAACAGGTACGATCAATCCAAGACTATAACAACACTCAAACAAGCAATCAATCAATCAAGCAATGCACACAATCAATCTATATGCAAAGCAACCCTAATCAAGTAGCGGAATACTTGACTTCTACATGCAGTGAGGCCTCTAGGTGCATAAGCCACATTCTCAGCCCACGCCTGTGAAGGTTCACGCTCATCCGGAATCACACAGAAACTAGATGAACGCCTTCACCCGGGCACTACAGTCCATCGCGGTACCCGGTTCATCCTCCCATCTATTGGCCTTACTGGCGCACCATGCCAATGTCTGGTTGGATCCCATATCGTCATATGGTACCATACTCGGCCAAGGCAGCTGACCAGGTTATCCTCCGAGTCTTCCTCCCTTCATGCACAGCCTCCACGCTGCCAATCCGGTTGGGCTCTGACGTGCGAGAATGCGCTTGACTACACCTTCCTAAACAACATGTGGTTAGACACGCCACATGTTCTCAGTACTTAGCATATGGGCCTTTACGCACCACTATGCCTCATACCCTCGGTTCTGCGGCAGAGCTTCCCTTGCCTCGGAAGAGTACCCACACGAACCTCGAAAGATCTGGCGGCGGGATAGATCTTGGGCGTTCGTCCCATCTCTCAATCTGCTCGTCCGATTTGCATTCTGCGTCGACCAAACTTCTTAGAATGGTTTCTTATGTCGTCCAAACTCTTCTCTTCTTGATTTGGAGAACTTTGATATTTCGTGTTCCTGTGGACTCTTCCCATGTTCGTACAATGATCGTCCCACCTGGACAATCTTGTTGTATCTTCACTTCTGCTCGTTTGTTTTTGATCATATCTTGATCCAAGTCTTCGTTCTAATCTCTGTATTAGATCCCACGTCTTTATCTTCCAATCCCAGCGTGCTGATCTTCCCATCCCGGCCTTTGGGATGTTTTAGGTCTTGATATGGGGTATCACATGGGTGTGTCTAGTTCATCATATACACTACAATTATGTTCCCATAATGTGGAGGCACAAAGGTACATTTCGGACTCCTTACCAAATTTGGTCCCATTTGATGTTCCTCCCTTGGATTGAGACCGTTTCATTCATGTTTCTCCTCATAGTCATGTATAGAACCTATTAATCCATGTTTGGGTAAGTATGGGTCCGTCTAGTTCATCATATACACTACAAGTATGTTCCCACAATGTGGAGGCACATAGCTACATTTCGGACTCCTTACCTCTTCCGGTTCCCAAATTTGGTCCATTTGATGTTCCTCCCTTGGATTGAGACCGTTTCACTCATGTTTCTCCTCATAGTCATGTATAGAACCTATTAATCCATGTTTGGGTAAGTATGGGTCCGTCTAGTTCATCATATACACTACAAGTATGTTCCCACAATGTGGAGGCACATAGATACATTTCGGACTCCTTACCTCTTTGGTTCCCAAATTTGGTCCATTTGATGTTCCTCCCTTGGATTGAGACCGTTTCATCATGTTTTCCTCATAGTCATGTATAGAACCTATTAATCCATGTTTGGGTAAGTATGGGTCCGTCTAGTTCATCATATACACTACAAGTAAGTTCCCACAATGTGGAGGCACAGAGATACATTTCGGACTCCTTACCTCTTCCGGTTCCCAAATTTGGTCCATTTGATGTTCCTCCCTTGGATTGAGACCTTTCATTCATGTTTCCCTCATAGTCATGTATAGAACCTATTAATCCATGTTTGGGTAAGTATGGGTCTGTCTAGTTCATCATATACACTACAAGTATGTTCCCATAATGTGGAGGCACAAAGATACATTTCGGACTCCTTACCTCTTCCGGTTCCCAAATTTGGTCCATTTGATGTTCCTCCCTTGGATTGAGACTCTCCTCATAGTCATGTATAGAACCTATTAATCCATGTTTGGGTAAGTATGGGTCTGTCTAGTTCATCATATACACTACAAGTAAGTTCCACAATGTGGAGGCACAAAGCTACATTTCGGACTCCTTACCTCTTCCGGTTCCCAAATTTGGTCCATTTGATGTTCCTCCCTTGGATTGAGACCGTTTCACTCATGTTTCTCCTCATAGTCATGTATAGAACCTATTAATCCATGTTTGGGTAAGTATGGGTCCATCTAGTTCATCATATACACTACAAGTAGTTCCCACAATGTGGAGGCACAGATACATTTCGGACTCCTTACCTCTTCCGGTTCCCAAATTTGGTCCATTTGATGTTCCTCCCTTGGATTGAGACCGTTTCAGTCATGTTTCTCCTCATAGTCATGTGTAGAACCTATTAATCCATGTTTGGGTAAGTATGGGTCCGTCTAGTTCATCATATACACTACAAGTAAGTTCCACAATGTGGAGGCACAGAGATACATTTCGGACTCCTTACCTCTTCCGGTTCCCAAATTTGGTCCATTTGATGTTCCTCCCTTGGATTGAGACCGTTTCATTCATGTTTCCCTCATAGTCATGTATAGAACCTATTAATCCATGTTTGGGTAAGTATGGGTGTCTAGTTCATCATATACACTACAAGTAAGTTCCCACAATGTGGAGGCACAGAGCTACATTTCGGACTCCTTACCTCTTCCGGTTCCCAAATTTGGTCCATTTGATGTTCCTCCCTTGGATTGAGACCGTTTCACTCATGTTTCTCCTCATAGTCATGTATAGAACCTATTAATCCATGTTTGGGTAAGTATGGGTCCGTCTAGTTCATCATATACACTACAAGTAGTTCCCACAATGTGGAGGCACAGAGCTACATTTCGGACTCCTTACCTCTTCCGGTTCCCAAATTTGGTCCATTTGATGTTCCTCCCTTGGATTGAGACCGTTTCAGTCATGTTTCTCCTCATAGTCATGTATAGAACCTATTAATCCATGTTTGGGTAAGTATGGGTCCGTCTAGTTCATCATATACACTACAAGTAAGTTCCCACAATGTGGAGGCACAGAGATACATTTCGGACTCCTTACCTCTTCCGGTTCCCAAATTTGGTCCATTTGATGTTCCTCCCTTGGATTGAGACCGTTTCACTCATGTTTCTCCTCATAGTCATGTATAGAACCTATTAATCCATGTTTGGGTAAGTATGGGTCCGTCTAGTTCATCATATACACTACAAGTAAGTTCCCACAATGTGGAGGCACAAGATACATTTCGGACTCCTTACCTCTTCCGGTTCCCAAATTTGGTCCATTTGATGTTCCTCCTTGGATTGAGACCGTTTCAGTCATGTTTCTCCTCATAGTCATGTATAGAACCTATTAATCCATGTTTGGGTAAGTATGGGTCCGTCTAGTTCATCATATACACTACAAGTAGTTCCCACAATGTGGAGGCACAAGATACATTTCGGACTCCTTACCTCTTCCGGTTCCCAAATTTGGTCCATTTGATGTTCCTCCCTTGGATTGAGACCGTTTCAGTCATGTTTCTCCTCATAGTCATGTATAGAACCTATTAATCCATGTTTGGGTAAGTATGGGTCTGTCTAGTTCATCATATACACTACAAGTAAGTTCCCACAATGTGGAGGCACAGAGATACATTTCGGACTCCTTACCTCTTCCGGTTCCCAAATTTGGTCCATTTGATGTTCCTCCCTTGGATTGAGACCGTTTCATCATGTTTCCCTCATAGTCATGTATAGAACCTATTAATCCATGTTTGGGTAAGTATGGGTCCGTCTAGTTCATCATATACACTACAAGTAAGTTCCCACAATGTGGAGGCACAAAGATACATTTCGGACTCCTTACCTCTTCCGGTTCCCAAATTTGGTCCATTTGATGTTCCTCCTTGGATTGAGACCTTTTCATTCATGTTTCCTCATAGTCATGTATAGAACCTATTAATCCATGTTTGGGTAAGTATGGGTCCGTCTAGTTCATCATATACACTACAAGTAAGTTCCCACAATGTGGAGGCACAGAGTACATTTCAGACTCCTTACCTCTTCCGGTTCCCAAATTTGGTCCATTTGATGTTCCTCCCTTGGATTGAGACCGTTTCACTCATGTTTCTCCTCATAGTCATGTATAGAACCTATTAATCCATGTTTGGGTAAGTATGGGTCCGTCTAGTTCATCATATACACTACAAGTAGTTCCCACAATGTGGAGGCACAAAGCTACATTTCGGACTCCTTACCTCTTCCGGTTCCCAAATTTGGTCCATTTGATGTTCCTCCCTTGGATTGTGACCGTTTCATTCACGTTTATCCTCATAGTCATGTATACAACCTATTAATCCATGTTTAGGTAAGTATGGGTCTGTCTAGTTCATTATATACACTACAAGTAAGTTCCAACAATGTGAGGACACATAGCTACATTTCGGACTTCTTACCTCTTCCGGTTCCCAAATTTGGTCCCTTTGATGTTCCTTCCTTGGATTGAGACCGTTTCAGTCCGGTTTCTCCTCATAGTCATGTATAGAACCTATTAATCCATGTTTCGGTAAGTATGGGTCTGTCTAGTTCATTATATACACTACAAGTATGTTCCCATAATGTGGAGGCACAGAGATACATTTCGGACTCCTTACTCTTACGGTTCCCAAATTTGGTCCATTTGATGTTCCTCCCTTGGGTTGAGACCGTTTCAGTCAAGTTTCTCCTCATAGTCATGTAGAACCTATTAATCCATGTTTGGGTAAGTATGGGTCCGTCTAGTTCATCATATACACTACAAGTAAGTTCCCACAATGTGGAGGCACAGAGATACATTTCGGACTCCTTACCTCTTCGGTTCCCAAATTTGGTCCATTTGATGTTCCTCCTTGGATTGAGACCTTTTCATTCATGTTTCCTCATAGTCATGTATAAAACCTATTAATCCATGTTTGGGTAAGTATGGGTCTGTCTAGTTCATCATATACACTACAAGTAGTTCCCACAATGTGGAGGCACAAGATACATTTCGGACTCCTTACCTCTTCCGGTTCCCAAATTTGGTCCATTTGATGTTACTTCTTGATTGAGACCTTTTCATTCATGTTTCTCCTCATAGTCATGTATAGAACCTATTAATCCATGTTTGGGTAAGTATGGGTCCGTCTAGTTCATCATATACACTACAAGTAAGTTCCCACAATGTGGAGGCACAAGATACATTTCGGACTCCTTACCTCTTCCGGTTCCCAAATTTGGTCCATTTGATGTTCCTCCCTTGGATTGAGACCGTTTCACTCATGTTTCTCCTCATAGTCATGTATAGAACCTATTAATCCATGTTTGGGTAAGTATGGGTCCGTCTAGTTCATCATATACACTACAAGTAAGTTCCCACAATGTGGAGGCACAAGCTACATTTCGGACTCCTTACCTCTTTCCGGTTCCCAAATTTGGTCCATTTGATGTTCCTCCCTTGGATTGAGACCGTTTCACTCATGTTTCTCCTCATAGTCATGTATAGAACCTATTAATCCATGTTTGGGTAAGTATGGGTCCTGTCTAGTTCATCATATACACTACAAGTAAGTTCCCACAATGTGAGGCACAGCTACATTTCGGACTCCTTACCTCTTCCGGTTCCCAAATTTGGTCCATTTGATGTTCCTCCTTGGATTGAGACCGTTTCAGTCATGTTTCTCCTCATAGTCATGTATAGAACCTATTAATCATGTTTGGGTAAGTATGGGTCTGTCTAGTTCATTATATACACTACAAGTA